CACACACACACACATACTGTATTTGCATTAAACTGAGGACATTGTATTGACTTCCATTCATTTTTGTAACTGTATTTATGCCTAACCTCACATTTTCCCTGAAACTAACCATTACTGATTTATAGTTAACACTAACCTGAACCAGAACTTACTGTATTTATTCATGTATAATACTAGAAATGTAACCCTAAAAATCATTCATAAAGTTGGGTGGTAGTATTACACACGGGTTGTTGATGAATAGATTTTTTTATGCTTTTTAAGCTCAAAAAATGATGATGGGATTATGCATGAATAAATACGGTAATTCACACCAAACCTCTAAAGCTGACTAGTAAAGCACAGCAGAGCTGCAAACAAAGTGAGGACAGTGAAGAGGTCCTCACTCTGTAGTAAAAACAAGCACACACACACGTACACACACACAGGATGCACCCATGGCGTGCAGGAAAACATGCACAGCTAATCAAAAGAGCAAAGGTTATTGAATCTTTAGCTACTGTACTTCCTTCTCAGCCGAGAATAAACGAGCTGTTAGAATAAAAACAACAAACTTCCTCTTTTGTGTTGTTGTTGTTGAACCTGTCTGCTGTTTCAGACGTCTGCTGGAAAATTTAAACACACTTTATGACTAAAGCCTCGTCTAACGCGACACGTTTAAAAAAAAAGGCAGATTTTCTGCTGTGTTAGCAGTTTCTGTCCACATGGAAACTGTGTTTCTGTCAGGGAAACTGAGATTTTGATAAATGCTTTGCAAAGTGGAGAATATTATGAACTTATTGTTATAACTTCCATTCTGTTCATCACAATAACAGTTTTACTGCTTTCTGATGAGTCTGCGTAAATTTACCACCAGTAAACTTGGACCATGAGCTGAAATCTTGAAGGAAATTGAAAAAAATGAACAGTTTTTGGGAGAATCTTCTCCTCCTCTGTGTCACCAGAGGTTTACTGTTAAAACTGGTGCTACTATCTGCCGTCCAAACCTGCACGTGCACGACTGAACGCACACTTCCTGTCGTCTTTTCAGAGGCGACGTGCACTAGAGCTGGGCGGTATGACCCAAATTTTATATCACGGTATTTTCAACAGTTACACCGGTTTCACGGTATTTGATGGTATTTTTTTTCTGCACAGCTCAGCTGATAATAAAATGTACAAACTTTGCTTATTGACTTTTTTCTTTTACTGTATCTCCTAGGGGTGTAAGAAAATATCGATACACTGAAATATCGCGATATTTCATTTCCCGATACTGTATCGATATTCTAAAGCCCGTATCAATTTTTTTATTAAGGCTTAAAATGTCAACTTTTCTGCCAGCCGTTCATTTTTATGTTGTAGTTCAGCCTCTGACCACTAGTTGGCAGCAGTGAGCCAGACATTTGGCTCCTCTACCTCTTGAGGTAGAG